AAATAGTCATCTTCAAAAACACAGGGCTGTAAAAGTTTGGCGTAAGTTGTCAGAAGTTGGTGTGAAAAAGCATGGTGGGAGCACAGAAGCTCAATGACTGGGTCTCCTTGAGTTGCAGCCCTGCTCTGTGGTCTCTGGGCACCATCCCTCAGCTCAAACACCACCCACCAAACGAGCAAAGGAGACGTCGTGTCCTGCTGTGAGGTCCCTCACTGCTGTGCAGGGGGGAGGGAACAGCAGCTCCTCAATCTGCCATCAGCTCTGGTGAGAGATCTTGACACCATTTTGGGGTGTCCTTCCCAGGGACTTGCCAACATCCTCATGCCTCCTGCAGCTTGAACCTTTCAGAGGCAGCTCAGTTGGGTGATAATCAGCTCCCGCATGGCTCAAGCTGTCTAGAAACTGGGATTTCTCCCATGTTAAAAACAAGCTGCTCATCCAAACCATGGTGACCAAAGGTTCAGAGTATGTCAGGGAAGGAAACCTGCTGGAAGCCCTGTTTAGGGGGAGTGTCAGCAGAGTGCTTTGTGGTTTTGTGGTTGTCAGCTTCATGAGTCTTTAGCTCTTGGGTTTACTAATCTAGTGTTTCAAACAGCTGCTTTCTTGATAGCACAGAGGTTTGGAGGTGCCACCAGGGAGTTTGGAGATGCACTGATCTCAGGGTCAGGCAGGTGGGAGACCCTTGCAAGAGGAGAACTGCCAGCCTGCCTGGATCCTGTCACAACTTCAATTCCTTTGAGTAAAAAACTTCTTCCACAAAATGTCAGTGTCTTTAAAAATTCAGTGCTGGAGCTGGAAAAGGTGGTAGCAATGAAAACTGATGGGTCTGATCAGCTTCCCTGTTAGACTGGGAGCTGTTCCAGCTACACTGGAACTGCTAGCAGACTTGGGAAGACCATGTCTCTCAGCTGCCAGTAGAGCATTGTGCAACTTATTCCTTTTAGTGAAAATTTAAATTCTACAGAAATCAGTTGCCTAGAGGTCTTTAATCTCCAAGGAAGTTTCCTTCTTGCCTTAGTTTTGTTTTTTTTCCATGCTTAAGGAGGTACTGTTGCGAATTGAAGGGAATGCCATGTGGATTTGGCTTTGCAGGCAGGATCTGTGAGATCTCCCTCCCACTGTGGACTCTGAAGGTGATGCAATTGTTCCCCAGAGCGTGCCAGCTCCATGGTTTGTTTTTTTTCACAGAACAAAGAGTAGCATGTTTGGCAAAAACTGGGGACTTTGCATCTTTGATTTAAAATGGGCATCAGGGGAAGCTGTGTGAAGGGAGCCTGGGGATCCCAGGCTGGAATGAAAACAATGCCCTTCAGGACTTGGGATGCAAGAGGACCTCACCTCTCTTCTCACTTCCATTGAAGTTCCAGGATCTGATGGTACCAAAGTGCTGTGTACAGGTCTTGGTTGGAGGAGTGGGAAATTTGGGTTAGGGTGCAGCCAAGACGAGGTGCAAAAAAGACTCTGAACAGGTAAAAGAACACCCTAAGGAGATGCCTGCTGGATTTCTACCACAGTTTTGGCCCTTGTCAGCATTACCAGAATTTACAGTGATCAGTGGAAGGTTTTATGCAAAGAAAAGGCAGTTGGTCAGGTTGACTTACTTGGGTCGCTGTGATCTCTGTTATAATTGTTCCTTATGTGATTATTTTGAGGGTTGAGCAACAGAGAGCTGCAGAAGCAGCTTCATTTCTGGGATGTGTGAAGCATTCAGTGTCAAAAATGTTCATTGCTCTTTCTGTCTAAAAAAAATAAAATAAAATTCTGGAAGTCTGCAGGAATTGTTGTGAAGTCCCAACTTTAAATGCTCACCTTTCCTTTTATCGCCCTTATCAGCACATAGAGCTCGGTGTGTGAGGTTTTTAGCTGACATTTCAAGTCGTTCTGAGTGTGCCTGTATCCCTTTTAAAGCAGCCTCCCCTCCCAGATCAGAAGTGACCAGGGTTTTTTGTTAGACTCCATGTTCCTTTAATGTTTTCCTCCTAATAGATGTTGAAAGAGTTCTTCAGAGGCAAGGCACAAAACATTCAAATAGTGATACGAGCCAGCTGAAGAGAGTTGTCAGGGAGAGGGAACATTAGGAGAAGGATTGAATACAGATGGATTCCTCAAAAGTAATGTAACCTGTTATGATTGCTTTGAAATCCTATACCCTTCCCATCTACTTACGCTTACCAAAAGTTTACATTTGCATTGATGTATTAGAGGCAGAGCTAAAATGGAAGTAATCCCTGCTGTATACATGCTTAAGTGTGTAATTTTGGCTAAATACAACAATTGTGACCAAACTCTTGCCTGCATTCTCAGTGGGAAGCCCACAGCCATGGAGTACTTGCTGCAGGAGAGCCCATTCAACCCAATTCTTCTGGAGGGGGGGGCTGTGAACCACCCAGCACCCATCTGCTTGCTCTTGGCTCCTTCAGCCATCTCAGATCCAGACCCAAGGAATGGTTCAGCTGCTCTTTGCTGTCTTTCTACCAGCAGATACAAAGGAGAAATCGATTGATCTGTGCATTGTAGTCTATGTATCGTGGTGCTCTCTTAATATCCTGCCAGAATAATCCTCACCTCTTCCAGAGAGTCCTGGCAGAAGGTCCACTAGAAGTTGGTGCTGTGTTTTAATTGGGTGGTCCAAAAAGCCTCCTCTTTGCTGCAGGGAAAGCCTGAGCTATCCATCATTCGTGTGCCTCAATTTAAGAGGTTATATCAGCCCCCATCACAGAGCAGTCACACTGAATTTGACAGGAGGGTTCACTGCACAGTGCTCCTTTAATGCTCAGAACTGACCACTCTGCAAGGGGAGAACTGCTGGAGAGGGGCTGGTAAGGTTGTCACTTCTTACACCTTGCTTTTTAGGGTTGAACTTCTTCACATTATTTCTAGCCTTAACTATTTGCCCTAGAATATTTCAAATCTGAATAAGGAATAAGGTTGCCCCAGTGCACGTTGACAGTGACAGACAGAAAGTTGGGTGCTAGATGCCTGTGGTGATTCACCACCCCAAGGCACCCATCAGCGTTTGTCCACAACTGACTCCCTGTTGCACCCGAGCTGGGAGAAACCTCACAAGGCTCTGTTTTCCTCCCAACAGTCATGAAAAACCTCAGCTGACTCAGTTTTGAATGTTCTTTGCAACTGTGCTGGGCTTCATCATCCGAGGAGAAATACCTCAGAGTTTTTGTTGGTTTGTGGCAAGCAAAATATTAGTTTTCTCTTTGTGAGGAGGGTAATTTGTTTTGAACTGACCCCATAATGGACCTAAAACAGTATGATTTTTCTTAGTGGCCAGCAAACATCTGTGACCCCTTGTACTAGGAGGAGAATTGCTTCTGTGTGTAGGAGCAGGAGGGCAGGGTGCATAGGAACTGGGGTGTTAGCTGATGGCTGTAGCCCTGTCGAATTCAGGTTCTAAAATGCTTTAGTAAACGGTCCTGAAAACCTCCTGAAGGGGTCCTTGGGTAAAAATCCTGAAAATCTCCACCTTAAATGGGTTACCTGCTAGTCCTCATTCATGCAGTGGCTGTCCTGTCCTTCACTCCATGCAAATATGCAGAACCTGCCAGCTTTTCCCTTTGCTGGTGTCTTCCTCTGGCCCATCTATCTGTGTGCTTCTCATGGGTTTCCTTGACTTACCTACACATAAACTCAGCAGAGCAGGGGCTGCTTTCTGTTGTCTGCAGGACTTTGACCACTGCAGTACAGCCAGAAAAGCTTTTCATGGCAGAAGAGGGAAGCACAAATTGCATGAGGTGTCCTCTTTGGAGGCGTTTGCTCAAGGTCCATCACAAACCACATCAGCGAGGTGCCGGTTACTGAGTTACTAAAGAAAAGGTCATGCTGATGAGCTTCATGATCTGAATTAAACCAGGGCCTCATGATTTTCAGAGCTGGTAACAGCGTTTGGAAAAAACAGGGTTTCATCAGCTTCAAGAGACCTTACAAATGCTGCTCCTGATGCAGAGGGGTAGGTGAGGGGAGTGGGGATTAAGTGATGCTGTGTTGCTGTGTCACTAGGAACATTTCAGCTTGTTCCTCCTTCCAGCAAATTGCAAAATAACTTGCAGGGACAACAAGATGCCTGAGTGGCCTGACTGTCCTGTGGTGTAGCAGGGCCAGAGGCACTTTGGCAGCAGTGGCTTTTCAGTGCCAGTGGCAGAGTCGGTGGGAAGAAGCTCTTGCCTGCTCGTCTCGCAGGCTGCTTCACCCTTAACTCAGGTCTCCTCCTGAGCAAGGAGCTTGCTTCCCAACTTAGCTCACACAGGCAGTATCTTTTCCTGTCATTTTGTTGAAGAGATGGAGGTTGGCCTGCTTGCACGTGTGCTTGAATAACCTGTCTGCAGGACAGGGCATGTGGTCATGTGCAAACTAGCCTCAGTAGATCCATGAATAGATTGTCCATTGGAAAAGCCATTGTGATTGGATGGTCCCTCCTGGTGGAATCTGCAGGTGTTTGATGTACCCGAGCGTGACATTTGAGGCTGGCTTTAGGTGCTGCATTGTCAGCAACAGGCATTTCTTGCTTTACCTCCACCCCCTGTTGGAGCAAACGTGTTGGAGTAAGGAGGGGTGTAAAAGCAAAGACAGAATGGGTGAGCTGTGCTACACATCCCTCACTGCTGGAAGAGAAGAAACCTGTTTTGACTCAGCAAAATGGTGTCTTATTATCCAAGTATTGCTTTTGGATGTCCTGCCTTGCTCACAGAACGACAGCGCTAAGCACTTCGCCCATGGGCACCATAAATCCTGATGGGAACTGGACTTCTTCCATATAGTCTTGTTCCCTCACTTCATCTCAAACAGTTGTCATCTTTATTACTCCATGAACTCCCTTTTGCTGCCACTTATGAGTCAGATTGTTCATGGTTCTATCAGTGCAACTTAGTATGAGCACAACTTACTCTGTCACCTGTCACCGACGCAGGGGCTCCAGGCAGAGTCCCTAGTGATGCAGAGTATGGTCAAGGTCGTGTCCTTCTAATTTGACTCTCTGGTTTTCTTTGCAGGCATGGGTCGTGGAGAGAGCCTGTTAACCCTTACTATGTCAACACGGGCTATGCTCTGGCACCAGCGACCAGTGCCAACGACAGTGAGCAGCAGAGCATGTCCAGTGATGCTGATACCATGTCACTGACAGACAGCAGCGTGTAAGTAACTCCACTCTGGGGGCACAAGTGGGACAAGAGCATGTTTGTATCTCTGATCAGTGGTGCTGCTGTTGTGTTGCTCTGGGTGAGGCTGGTGTTGGGGGGAACATCTGAGTAGACCAAGGTCATGATCATTCTCGCTTTCTTTTCCAGCAGGGGTGTTTTGTCACTGTGCAGGCTGCTCAGCCCCTGCTGGTCTTGGAGACATTTGCAACTTAAAATGCTTTGGGTGAACTAAAATAAACACTGCTTGGTCAGAGCTCCTGCCACATTTCTTGCCAGGTGCAGGAAGGATTGGATGGCTTTGTAGTGATTTGAGATACAGTATCTTCTAAATGTCAAATGGGGCTTTCTACTTACACCAGTGCTTCTCCTTTTGAGGTTTTTTGCTGACAAGCTGTGCTCATTTGTGGTTACTTTTCAGTAGTATTGGTGACTGACCAGTTCTAGTTTGTCTGGTGACTGCTGCACTTTAACACAACTTGTACTGATAAGCCCCCACCGAATCTTTTCTGCCTTTTCCTAGCTCTGTCCCCCATGACAGCACCCACGAGATACCTTCCTTAAAGATGGTCTGCAAAGGCAGCAAAAAGGGGTTACAAAATTTTGTTGCGACTACATCTCTGTGACAGAAAAAAGGGATTTGGGGGAAAATATTCAATGTTCAGTCTGGTTTTTAGTAGTGCAAATGCAAAGTGTCTTTCTGTAGACAGAAACCCTTTGATTCTTCAAGCGAAAGATGACAGGTTTACAGAATTAGGAGAGGGTTTTATTAACGGCAGTGCTGTAAACACAAAGTCCTCCAAGAGGCTCGTTTAGTGTCACTGTGGATGTCAGGAGCTGTCAGACCTCGTTGGAGAAACTTGCCAGCCTGTGTCATGGATGTTGTTAACGGGTGCTGCAGCAGCTCCCCACTCCCCCTCGGTCAATACGGTGAGCTGGTGAGTGTGTGACGTGGGACGTGGCAAGGGGACTGCTGTGCCTGCTGTGGTGGCTCTAAGTGAGGTGGTAGCCTGCTGGCCTCTGGCTCCACGGAGGCTTGGAGCTATTTAGGAGCAGCTATTGAGTCCACCCTGCTCCCTGGCACCAGCTCCCTATGCCTTGTCCCTGTCACGTTGCAAATTGTAGAAGGCAGACCTTGGCCAAGGGGGGCACGGGAGCTGGAGGATGCCCCTGGGGCAGAAAGCTGTAGAGGACCACTAATTAAAGGCTCCGTTTGATACCAATCCAGCTGCTCGGCCACATCCTTCTGCAGTTCTTCATATTCATCATTTTATATGGAGGAGTACTCTGAAGCTAGCAGGGGTCGTGTAACTTCTTGTTATCGGGAGAGACAGATGTAAGAAATCTTCAGAATTAATTAGCTTTTAGCACTTCCTTTTCCACTGGTCCAGTGGGCTCATGGGGTTGCACTGATGGTTATACCTTCCATAAGTTGTGATCATTTATGCCAGAGTTCTTCACCCTCTTAATTTTTATTTCAGTAGCTGTAATTTATTTCTTTCACAGGAAGAATAATTTCAGATTGACCATCCTATCTGTTCTTTCTTCTTTGCTCCTTTTTCCTCTGGGCATTTTATCCCTCTGTGCCCACCCTGAAGTGCTTCCAGGACTTTAATTACCACCGATGCATGCTCTGCCTTTTGCTAATAACTAACCCAATCTCGGTGGTTCGTTTTAAGTAGGTCTCAAAAATCATAAGGGTAAACCTGTGACCTTCTGTGCACCTCAAGGTAGATGCATGCAGACTGATCTGGATGTACAGCCTTGACCTTTGGCTTGCAAAGGCTCTGCCTGTTTTCAGCACTTGCTCTTTATGACTTGCTTTAAAACTCCAGTACAAGGTTTTGTTCAGTTTTTACGTGACGTTGCTGAACCTATCTGCCTCCTGAGTTTCAAAGGAATTTTTGCAGAATTGCTCAAGGCAGCAAAAATGAGGAACAACCAGACGCAAGTTAAAGAAGGGACTCCTGCTGCTTGACAAGACTTGCATGTCTCAGTGCTTTGAATTTAGGCCTCCTCTGAGGAAAATGGCAATAAAAGCCTCGTTTGCTGATGAGCGAGGTTCTTCCCTGTGTGTGCTGTTTACATACAGCAGTCAAGCTCAATAATGAAGAACTCTGGCATCTGCTCCGAGGCAGCACATGAACAGGGTGTGATCCCAAGGCAGAAACCTCCGTGACCCTCCATCAGAGGAGAGTGTGTCCGGACAATCAGGATGCAAACCTCGGCTAATTGAGGAGTGCTAATAAGCCAGGAGAGCAGGGAGCATGGGTGAGCAGGGAGCATGGCTTGCTGCAAGGCGTGCTCTCCCAGCACTGGCCACCTCAAGCCCTTGGGGAAGGCAGCCACGCCGAGCAGGTTGCCTGTGCTCTGGTACCTGCAGTCATCACCAGCTCCTTTCCAAGCTTTGATGTTGTACTGATCGTGGCAAAGCAGGGTTTGGATGTGGCTGCATGCACAGCCCAGCTGTGCCAACCTGCTCATGAAGACCTGGGTGATGCTCTGGCCTCTGGAGCTGGCATGGAGGGAGGCAGGCACAGGCTTTTGGCAGCACCCAGCTCACCAAAGTGCTTTTAAAAGTCGTTTCTCTGGTACCAGCTACAAGCACTCTTGTCTAAAAGACAAACTTCCAACAGAATGTCTTTCCAAGCACTGGTAAATATTATTACAATGGGTTGAATTTTTATAACGAATATGTTATCAGCCCCTGTTGTTGGAGGAGTTGGCTTTTTGAGTGGCTTCAAAAACATTGCTCTTCAATGCCTGCGCTCCACTGATTATTTTTCAGTCTTCCTGTGTCACCCGAATTCCTCTGCCCTGGTAGGCAGAACAGCTCCAGCCCTCTGCTGAGACCTGTTTTTACAGTCAGCAGGGCAGCTGTGTTGTTTTAGCTGGCTCGTGTGGAGCCAAGGGCTGGAGAGGACAGGGCGAAGGGCTCCGGCGAGCGCGGGCCGGGCGAGCGTGCCACAGGTGGGGCCGGGTCCCTCCCGCCAGGCTGGGTGCTGGTGGGTCAGTGGTGGGTCAGGGCTTTGGGGCTCTGCTCCCCCTCGGGTGCTCAGGGCCCGGCCCAGGCTTGTGGCAGCGTTCACAGCCCCGTCCTGAACTGCTCTCCCTGGCTGGGGTGGCCCTCACCTCCAGAGAGCATCTTTCCAAAGGGGAGGAGACAGCCTCTGGGTGGGAGGGTTTGTCCCAGCAGAGGTGCTGGAGGGAAATTAAGGCTCATCTGGGTAGGAAGGCAACAGGCAGAAGCTGTGGTGCATTAAATTGCCATGTGATGTTCCAATTCAGATGCAGAAATGCCTTGGGTCCATATCTTTCATCTCTTTATTTCTGCAGGAGCTTACATAGGTAAAAAGAGGTAATGTCTCCTCCTTAGCTCAGTGTAGTGGTCCAAGGAAACAACAATAGTCCCTCCTCTGGGTCTTATCATGGGTCCTGGCTTATCTTGCTTGGGAGACAGCTTTGCCTTCCTCCAGGCGCTTGGGAAGCCCTCAGTGCCAGTGGGCTTGGCCAGAGGGTTGATTGTTCTTGCCCAGTTCCAGTCAAACCTGCTCCAGGGTAAGGCTGGCCAGTCACTGGAGCAAAGAGCTTTAGGACAGTGGTTACCTCCTTCAAAAAAAAAACCTTTCTGATTAAATATTGTTCCTTGGATGACTGACCTTTGGCCAAAATGCCTGGTGATGTTCCCATCGTGCTTCTGGGTGTGAGAAGGGTCTCTCTGTGACAGTGGTGCTTTGAGAAGAGGAATTGGTAGAAAATATCAGTTTCACTGTGGATTTATTTCCTGTCTTTCCTACCTCCAGTGATCCAGAATGACCTTGAGTTCTGCTATATTTAAACAAGTTTAACAGCTTTTTAATTTAAAAGATCCCAAATGGTCATTTCCAACCTGTTAGGCTCAATGGGTGGCTTTGGAGGCTATCTTACAGAGGAGCAAAGACAGACCTTGTGAGAAGAGTCCAACTGCAAATCCTCTCTGCTCACCAGAGGCTCTGGCAGGTCCGTGAGGAGAGGAGAGGAAGCCCCCAGCAGCATTTTCCCCAGCAGCAAACCAGTTGCATTATCATTAAATAAATGATGGAAATATTCTTGCTCCCACCTTTACATTTCAGCACAGAGCTTTCTGGTGCTGAAGAAAATCACGTGATGAAACGAGGGGAAACAGTTTGGCAAAGTTTTATTTTAAAAGTCGATGTACTCTAAAAAAGTTTGATTTTTTAAAAATATATATATGTAATTTCTCTATCTATAAAAAATATCTCAAAGCAAGCTACCTGACAAAAGGAAAACAAAAGTCTGGTATTGGTTTTCCCTTGCTTTCCCCCCATCTATTGAATAAGGTTTTGTTGGGATAAAATTAAAGTGCTTATCTTTGAATTTGCTTCCTCTGGTTGAGTTGGCACAGTACATTGAACGAAGGAATGTTCCAAGTTCAGAGGTGGCATTGGGGAATCTAGTTAAAATGACATCAAAGGCAGCACAGCGGGGCTGAACATGTGTTTGAAGCCGGATAGATTAGAGGCCATTATCAGCCTCTTGCTACTGTGCTGGGAACAAAAGTCCCTCTTTCCGCTGGGACTGCTGCTGGGGAGAATTAAAAAAAAAGAAAGAAAGAAAGAAAAATTGCACCTTCTAATATAATGCTGCTTTCCCCACAAGCTTTAGCGTGCGGGTTGTGTTCTGGTGCTGGGGTTTTGTGCCAGGGTTAAGCTGGAATGTTGTCTATCGATGCCGACCAGCGATGGCTAAAATAATCCCCCAGGTTTTTGGGGGTTTTGTTTTCTATAAAAATGGCCTGTTGGTTGGTTGCCATCCAGTCTGGGAAAAGCCACGTCATGATGGGGTGAAACTCTGCCAGTGTTGGGAGTTATTTTTTCAAATGGAGGTGCCTAAGTGGATGCTGTCGTGGGGAAAATCACCCAGCTCCCAGAACGGGTGCAGTGCAGGTGATGCTCCAGCCACACTCTTCCTCCTCCCGCATTACCTGCAGCCACCAGCCAGAGCTGTAATTAGCCTGGCTAATTTTCTCTTCTCTCATTTGTTGTCCTACTAAAAAGCACTTGCCGTTAATCATGGGGTTTGTTTTATTTTAATGGTGTTTAATGTTGAATGCCTGGGTTGCTGCATGAAATTGCCTTCTTCTGATGTCCTTTGGTGGCAGTTCAGCCTGCACCCATGTTTCCAGGGAGCAGCAGGCACGTGGGAACGGGGTAGAGAGCTCATGGTGACCATCCCTACCACAGGCTGGTGCTTGTGACTCCATTTGCAGCCAAAACACTGCAGTAAACTGAGCTTCCCTTGCCAAATGGCATCTCGACTTCAAAAATCTGGTTAACCTCCTTAGTTTATGTTCTGGAGAAGCAGCTGGGCCTGGCACCTGGGGAGGGGGTAGGTGTGAAGTGCATTTGGCTTATGCAAACACCCTGTGGTTGTGAGAGGGGTTGGGACAGGCTGTTTGCAGTGCTCTGGGGTGCTGTGGGATTGGGAGGAGACAGCACAGCACGTGTGTGTGGAAGTCATTTGGTGCTTGGGACAAACCGAATCCCTGCCTTCGTTTCCAGCCGTTCCTGTGGCACTGCACAGCCTTCCCAAACAGTTACCTTCAGTGAATCCAGGAAATGTGGAGAATAAAAAAGGAAAGCTCTAAACTGCCAAGCTCCAGGCTGGGTTTTGTTTTTGCTTTGGTTGATTTTGCTCAGAATAACCCAGTGTCACCAAGAGATGGGACCGTGTTCTTCTCTCCTAACTGATCTCCACCTCACCTGTGTTCTCCTCATCCCCAGGGGTGAGCAGGGTGGTGGCAGTGCTGAGATCAGAAACACAGTCCCTTCCTTCTCCTGAGGCCATCCTCAGCCAGCAAGCTCTGCTTTTAGGGCTGCTTAGCAAAGCCTGGTGCCTCTGACCCCCATCACTGAGACCCCTGAGGTCTCCTCCCTTTGCAGAGACCTCACCAGCTTTTTCAGCAAGGGCACAGACCGGAGCAGAGCTGGTTCACTTGGGTGTTGCTGCCCGTGGCTTCCCTCCCTAACCTTGTCCAGCCTCCTCTGGGGTTCTGGCTAGGTTCTTGCACACCACACAGCAACTCCAGGATCAAGCCCATAGTTTCTGACTGAGGTGGAGGTCATCTTAAGAGCAGCAGAGCCTACCCTTTTGCTTTGATAAGCCATTTGAGAAGCTGTCATGCTCTCTTAAAAACATATACCTTGCTCCTCGACCGAGTTCCCCTCGGTGTAGATGCTCCCTGAGCTCCCACTCCTCCTCCTCCCCCTCCTAGCTTGCCCTGTGGTTTACTGTGTACATTACAGACTCTTTTATAGAAAGCAACCAACTATAAAAGGTACCAGGATGTGGTCCAAGTCCTTCTCCCTGCCCTCTGCCTAGGGCAGCGGTCGCAGGAGCCCTGCCTCGCTCCGCTCCCGTGGATGCCCTGTAAGTGCCCCCAGCCCTGGAGCGTTGCTGGTGCAGGGACCTGGGCGAGCATCACTCTCCACACAGGTTCCTCTTGTTCTGCTGCGCTCACCCTGGGCGTGCAAAGCCTTTCTCAAACCTGAAAAGGGTTTCCCACCCGGCACTGTGCCGTGGCGAGGCTTAAATCAAACGTCGTGTATCAGAGAGAGGCACTAAAGTGGAGCCTGTTGTTGTTTTGTCCTCCAGAGATGGGATCCCACCCTACAGACTCCGCAAGCAGCATCGCAGAGAGATGCAAGAAAGTGCCAAAGCAAATGGACGTGTGCCACTACCTCACATTCCTGTAAGTAGCCCTATCTCCTTCCCCAGAGGTAAAAATGCAAAATATGTGAGATCTCTCGTGTGCAGTCGCTCTGCTCCCTCGAGTTTAACCCCCTTAGCACTGTATTCATTTAGGGGTGTTTAAAGATGGAAATCCACCAAGGGTGCTAAGAAAGGGCTTGGTAGCCTGCTGCCAACCTCACCATGCAGGGCTGCCCAAAATGCATAGTTTTTCTTCACTGTTCAGCCAGTAGCTGGTTGTTTCTCCCAGAGGAGAATGGAAGCACTGGCTGGCATCTGCCTGCAAGCAGGTTACGTGCCCTCGGGTGAGCTGGAGGTGCTTGTGGAAGGTGTAGGAGGCCGTTGGACCTGGAAGCTGATGTCAGCTGGGGAGAAATGCAACTGTCCCAAGCGGTATTTCTGCACTGGGCAGCCAAAGGGAGCTGTAACCTGTTCTCCAGGGCTCAGAGCCTGCCTGGGGATATGAGGCAGGAGAGCAAAGAAGGTGCAGAGTAAGTATTTCATTTGTCTGCTGCCGTCTCCCCAGTTGCTCCAGGTAAGCAAACAGCTTTTGGAAGAGGAGCGTAACTCCTAGGGCTCTGCAGCACCATCTGCAGCTCTGCTTATTATTATTATTATTTTCTTTTTGTGAGAAGTTAGAGGTGACATTTAATACCTAGCAGGGAATAAAGGTGCTTCTTTCCCCTTTGGACAGCTGGACTCCAGCACAAATCAAACAGGGAGGAAAAAAAAAAGCCTCCATCTGCTTTTTCTAGAAGTGCCTTCAAACTTGAGGCAGCTGTTCTCATCCTGCCTGCTCAAAGCAGCACAATACCAGCAGAAATACCCCCTTGTTTTAATCTGATTTTTAAAACAAAAACCCAAACCAAAACAAAAAACCCCAACAAACCGCCACAGAACCACCACTCTTTGTTTTGCCTTTTAAATTAGATTATTTTCCTTAGATTTAAGAGGGTCTCCTGTGCTTTGATCACTGGGTTGACAATAAAAGCCCTGGCTGCAGACGCTCACTAGCCATCCTTGCTCAGTCACCTCTCCTTTCACACGGTGGCTTTCACAGTGTGGTCGCTGTTGAAAGGGCTGGCTGGGTGCCTTTTGATTTCACTTGATGCCATTTTTACTGTAAGCATGGCTTTGTTAGAGTTGAAGTTTGAAAGCTTGGCCTTTATTTTTTTTTCTGTTGTTGTTGTTGTTGCTGGTGCTGTTCCCCAACAGTGGGAAGCAGAGAGTGAATATTCGACTTCAAAGCTTGTCAGTGGCTTTACCTTTTGGATAAAAATAATAGTGGCTTTCTGTTGATGGTGTGCACTGGCAATGCCTCGGTGAACTGCAGGTTAGAAACTCAGAGTATGGAGCATTAAATATGTATAGTGAGCTCTGCTTTAACGAACTTCCATCTGCCAAACATTTCTTTTGTTGAACTGAATAAGTGTCATTCCAGCAGCAGTTCCTTGCAGGCTAATTAGTTTTACTTAGCATTAAATTTTATCGACCTTTTTGGTAAAGCAGTTAAAAAAGGGGGGGGGAGGAAAAAAACCAACAAGGTTTAAATTGGGCTACCTGCTGCTTATAAATTTTTATATTATCCTACTTATCTACACGGTCTTTTAGAATTACATATTCCTCCTAAACTACACACAGACACTTCACAAGGGTTTTTCTGTGAAACATCCACTGTTCCCATTAGGTTCTGGGCTGTAATTTTAAGTCCCAGGGAAAAAGGCATCTTGACACATATTTATGTGGGAGCAGAGGACTGAGGAGTCGAGTTAGTTCTAGACTTTCTCCAGGGAATAAAAGTTTAGTTCAGACACTCTGGCACCTCCTGCCAGCCAATTACTGACACAGAGTTGGCATCGACATCAGAGAGGCACTGCTCTGCCCTCGCTTATCAATCAGCCGAGAAAGGAGAAGGTAATTAGACAATATGTTTTGACAACACCAGTGTGAAATGTTATAAAGTTAGTCTGTTAAAATCACCTCTAACTCCACGCTTATCAAATTAAACGTCCCCAATTAGCAAGGAGCCGCGTGAACGTTTCTTCAAGTGTTGCTTTCCAGGCTGGTGGCTGGGTAGTCTCCACTGGCCATCTGGACCTGGGGGTTCCAGGCTTTTAAACATCTGGCAACGCCTCAATTGCAACCTTTGAGTGAAGGTCTTTGTGGACTCCTATCTCGGCAGTGCAGCTGGAGTCCATACTGATAGTGCTTGCAGAATGCATGGCATGTTTTCCTAGTGATGGTAGAGAACCTCCTACTTCCAAAAAGCCTTTTCAGAAGCCCTTTAGAGACCTTACAAGTGAGTTATGGGGCTATTATGCAGAATTCTGAAGGAACTTTCAATGCTTTTAATTAGCAGCACTTCTAGTTAGGTCCAGAAGCTATAACCTGTAGTGATGTTCACAGGAGACTGCCTGCTAGTTTCAGCAGCCCCACAGCCTCCAGATAATGAATGTGTGTGCTGGTGAGGTAGGATGTCCTGCCATGCAGCAGATCTGGGTGTGTAGAGGGCTGTATTCTGCATCTTCCTCACACAGAAACTCACCAGTGCTCTAAGTTTGGGAAAGCTGTGTTTTGTGAGATGGCCCTCTTGCCCAGGGATGCCACAGGTGAAGGTCTCTAGCAAGCAACAAGACCTTTGTTTTGTGCTTCTGGCAGGAGCCCATTACATGGAAAGAGAGTATTGCTTTTCATGTGGTTTTTCATCTCTCTCTTGGATTCGAGCAGAGTCTTGGAGCACCAAGGAAAGAAAGAGCAAGCAAGTTCCCAAAGGAAGGGTGGAAGGCCAGAGAATGCAGGGCTGTACCTTTAACCCAGCTTTGGCATTCATCCATTCCCAGGAGAGGGTGGGAGATGCTTCTTTTTCCCAGCAAATTCAGAAAAATCCAACCTCAAGCATTAAGACTTGGGATTCCTTTTTTAGTTTGCATAAAGAAACCATTTAGTGGTGTTCTTGCCGTAGCTTGATCATCGGGTGGAAGCTCTCCTGTCCTGGTGTTCTTGAGTGGAACAGAAGATTCTGAGTGACCTCTCTGCTGTGCTGTACAAGTGAGGAGTGTACAGGAGCAGCCCTGGTCTCATGCTGCCTGGGTAGCTACAGCTAAATGAGCTTCCTGCTCCTGTGAGTTGGGAACCTGCTCAGAATTCCCATCAGCTGTTTTATGCCACTTTCCTCAAAGGCCTTGCAGCAGCAGGGCTCCCTGAGAATCCCTGAATGCTGCCAAAGGGGATGCTGAAATCCAGCTTGCCATGGGCTCTGCCACAGTGTTCCTGGTATGGAAACTCCCCTTGTCCTTTAAAAACATTTACCATGGTGGAATGCATTCATCTGGGAAATGTGGAGGTGTTCAGTTCTTGGCTTTCTCTTGGCTTCTCTAGCCTGCCATCATCCTTTCGATTCCAAGACTGACTGGTGAGCTGACATCCCCCACACGGGCATCAGGAGGCATCAAACCTCCTGTAGAAGAGGGGGATTTACCAGCATGATTCTTTGGCCCAGTCAGATCTGTCAGAAGTGGTTCAGCCCAAGCCCTGGATCCTTGGGGCTGGTTAGAGACCTTTACCCAACGATGACATTGGAAAATTTCCTCTCTCACCTCAGAACAGCTGAGGTTTATTCTTCCCATAGTGAACTGCAGTGAGACTCTTGCCTTTCAGCCTTTTCACATCTAGATGATGGTAAAACTGCACGTTTAGGATGCTGGTGTGTTCTGATGTGCAGTTTGATCCTCAAACTTCAGTTTCTCAGGGAAGGTGAAATCCGTCAAAACCCAAGACCTTCATCTGCCTCATGGAGCAAAATCTGTGTGAGTCCCACTCCCATCAGCTGCAAGAAAAGACAGAGAAAAAGGTGGTAGCAGGTGCTAAGTGGAACTTCTGGAGAGCTTGTGTTACTCAAATGTTCTTAGCAGGCTGCTTCTTCCTAAAGTTACCAGAGCTTCAGACATTTCACATGTCAAGGACAGTATTCTGGTGATAGATAGCCCAAGAAAACCTTCCTCACAGCTTTCACTAGGACAGATTGCTCCATCCAGACCAGTTCAAGCAATTGCTTTCTTGCCAACCCATCTGGTATTCAGCCTTCCTTCTGTTCTCCTCTGCAGCCTCCCCACCCCGTCATGGTTTGGTCTGGACAGACCCATCTGACCTAGTGGCATTAAGTAAAAGTACATAGATAATTAAATAAAACATTAGACAAAACAGCTATAGATAAAACAGTCCTTTAATATGAAACACTTCCTTTCTGAACTGTTGTCTCAGAATGTCCAGAGATCCCATTCTGGTCCAGACTGGAGGGCTGGATCCTCTGAAATCACCCAGCTCTTGGAGAGTGCTGCACCCTTTACTTGGAACAAAAGCATTTGGAGCCCTTCTGATTTCAGAACAATAAACGGCTTATTTCCAACTCCCTTGGCAGAGCTCTATGCCCACAGGAGGCTGGGGGCAGGTTCCAAATCCTGAAACCCTGAAGGATCCTCTTCTGGGCACGGGCTCAGCCTGGCTGGTTTTTGATGGAGCATGTCCCCTTTCCAAAGTCAGGCCTGTCATTTGATGAAAGTTTCAAACACTTTGTTGTCTTAAGCCTTTTGAACCAGGTCAGTGCAGTCCATGTTTGCTCTCCAGGGAGGCAGAGAGAGCCCTCAGCAGTTATCTGTAGTGTTTCAGCACAGGGAATTTGCATTCATTATTCTGCAATACAGTTTGTTTTGGGGAAGTGTGTGTAGCTCATCCTTTGAGCTAGGACTGAAGTCAGACCCCTGGTGATGATCAGAGCAGCATCCTGCTTCCCAGCTTTCTGGGAGTCACCACTACAGGTACCCACCAGGACAACGTAGGGCACGTGCAGCTGATATCTGTGGGGTGAAGTGAGGGCTTTCCCAGTTGTGTTGAACTTGGATGGTCAAGGAGACCCTTGCAGAGATGGCTCCACAGAGGGGACTGCATCTTGCACCCTCGAAAACAGGCTGCTGAGGACTTCTGCAAGCTGTTGTGTGAGTGGAGAGCTCCAAAGACCGGGCAGGAGGTTTTGCAGATGCAGCAGTTTATCACAGAGAGAGGAAAATGAATTCATCTGAAAGATTCTTGGGTTCAATTCTTTTCATTTTTGTTGAGCTTCAGTCACCTCTAGGCTTTGAGAGACTGTGGGTAAACACAGTGCTGGAGTATTAGTTGTCAAAGACCCAGATTGTCTTATCTGAGTTCCCTGGATACAGCAGTGACCCTGAATGTCTTCAGATCCTCATCAGAGAGGGAGCTGTTGTCCTGGAGCATCGCTGGGGAACCACAGGACACACACAGGCAGGTTAACAAACTTCAGCCTTTGCTCTGGGGGCTCGGGAGAGCCTTCACTTTGGGGTGCAGCATCAAAGGCTGTGAAAACAAAGAGAAATTCTTCCCCAGTTCTGCTTTCCTACGGTGGCTGCAGCGAGGAGACCTGACGGGGTCACTGCAGAGCTGCCTCTCTGTGGGCTCATCGAGCTCCTCACAGAGCAGGGCTTGGTGCTGCCCTCCTGCAGACAGCCTCTCTGAGGTGGCAGGAGGGAGTGAGCACATCCCTGGCTGGCTGCCACTTGTCAGGTGAGAGAGAGAGAGATTTCCCTCCTTGGGAATCGCTGGCGCTGCCTCGCGAGCTGGGTGCTGGGCAGTGGGAAATGGGGAAACATCATTTGGATCCTAGAACGTCCCCAGGGAGTAACAGAGCAGGGCCCAGCTCTGCCACATCTTGCCCCATGATGGAGCACCTCTGGGGCCCACTTCTGGACAACACAAAGTCCAGGCACTGGGGTGAAGTGTGGCACTTGGGCCCTTGTGCCAGCGTTTCAAGACTAAACATCATTTTTGTGGTGGAAATCTTCCCCTGTGGTGTTTCTCTTCAGTACAGGGGATTGATTTTCAGGGCTGGAGGTCCTGCTGACAGCAAAGGCTTTGTCAGCCCAGGGTGGGAGCATTATGCCCCCTCCTGTGGCTGCATCCCTGCATGAAGGAGATGGTTGGTTGGGGCTGTTCCCAGCTCGGATGGGCCAGTCCAGCCTGGGACAGCTTTGGGCAGAACTGTGGGTCCCTCTGCTTGTCATGGGAAGCAGGTGCTAGAGCAGGCAGTCTCCACATTGATCTTTGGACTGGTCTGGGTTAAATTTGGCTGGTCTCTCATCCTCCTTTAAAGATTTCAAGCCTGGTGTCTGCTTCTGGTGCTGCATTTGTTCTGCTATGAATTATCTCATGTGCTCACGGTTAATTTTATCTCTGGTCCTATAGAGTGTGTATTTCTCTTATGTTGGTATTGAAAAGTTTGAATGAAGGTCTTTATACTTCTGGATTTTCCATACATTTTTCCTCCAAATTAAATTTTTATCTCTGCTGTGTAATTTTTTTTTTCTACTATTTTAACAAAATAAAGCAGAAGAGATAAAAACGAGGGGGGAAAATACAGCAGCTGATAGCTTCATACTTCCCTAGGTGAACTGCTTATCCCAGAGCTCAGGCATTTAGGGACAAAGTAAATCAGCACAAAGAACAGATAATGCCCTTCAACTTCCATAAATATTTATTTCTTCACCCAGAGCAAGCAGAAAAATGGTCTCTCTGCACTTGTAAGGGTGCTGTAGTGATAAAGGAAGCAGGGGATCGTTGCAGGGCTCTGAAGAGCTGAGGTGCAATCGTACAGGATCCTCTAGTAAGAGAGGATGCTTTGTGGGAATCGTGGCCTTCTCTGGGTGGGCTGGGTTGTAGCAGAAGGTGGGAGGAAGTGAGATCATCCTGGAGGTGACAGGATTTCCAGTCCTTTCTGTGGCTTTGGGCTAGACCTGCAGAGATGGATCAGTGTATGATCCCCTTGGGTGAGCTGAATGAGTGTGTAAGAGCCTTCCATGCTATCAAAGCAAAAACATCACTGCTCTAAGGATGATTTTTGAGAGGTTTGTCCATACATCCTTTTCCCACCCTTGGAGACCAGGATGACCCTGCTGACCCTGTGTACTCTGGAGAAAGGCAAGCACTGCCATCCCAAAGTGGAGCTTATTGAATTGTGACTCCAGAAAACCTTGCCCTTAACGTGGGTGATGTGCAGAGCTGGTGCCAGCCACGGAGCTGGTGGTGGTGGCTCAGTTTCCAGCCTCCTGGTCCTCAGCTGCACCTCTGCATCTCCCAGCCTGTCCTCCCCCAGCTCCCCACGGGGACAACTGGCATGTCCAGTTACCGAAGGCTCCAGAACAAACCTGTGGGGTTTTTAATGCACCCTCTGCTAACCCCTGGGGTGTTTTCCCTCCAGCGTACATACCGAATGCCAAAGGATATCCACGTTGAACCAGAGAAGTTTGCTGCAGAGCTGATCAATCGTTTGGAGGAAGTCCAGAAGGAACGTGAGGCAGAGGAGAAGCTGGAGGAGCGCCTCAAACGCGTGCGAGCGGTGAGTCCCCTCCCTGCCCCCTCTGCCACCCTGGGGGTCTCTCTGGGCACTGAACAACACAGGGAGCTTTCAGCTGCTCTTGGTGCAACTGGGTGACCACTTCCCTGCTCCACCAACCATGGTCACCACTTGCACGGGGGCTGCTGGAGGCTCCTGTTGCCTCAGGAGCTTCCATGGTGCTGTCCTCCCATCCATGCAGGGTTCTGGGAGCTCCAGCCCTCCCAACCTGCTCTGAGATACCAGTATGGCACAGCAGTGCCCACTTCTGCCACCCGTGAGGGGCTGTGCACGCTCTCCATCATCTCCTTTGGCACCCTCACTCTCTTGGCTCTGTGAGCAGTCCCTTCCGTGCGAGGCTGGGGACTCTGTCAGGAGTTCACCTTCCCCTGTGGGGCTTTGGGTGATCCCCATTTCCCTCACAAATGGTAACCAGATGGCAGGTGTGTTATGCTTGGAGGTGTTTGTGTCTGCTTTCAGGCCATTTCTACCACAACCAGAAGGGTTCTGCCCACCAGTGCCTCACACACCCCTAGAAAATTTGGAACTGATCAGGTGTAGCATCCAAAAATCCTCTCCTGGGGAGAGATACACTCTGACTCCACATGGGTGGCTTGGGAAGCCAAGCCCATGGCCCTGCCTGCTGTGAGCCCTGCTACCATTGGGATCCTTCAGGCTTGGTAGATGAACCAAGTGCAGCATGTAAGGCCTTTAGCTCCACAAAAAAACTCCAAAAGGGAGAGGATGAGGTCTTGGTTATCTAGAATTACCTGTGTGCAACCCCCTCTTTGGCAGTATTCACACCATATCTTTTCTTCTGAGACACTGCAGCTCCTGGGTGCATGTACATCTTGGGCTGGGGACACGGGAGAGTTTTCAGAGGACACCACAGTGTTACTGAACGTCACCAGTGTCACTGTAACTACAGCCCTGAGTGGAGAAATTGTAGGTCTCTGCAGTTAAGAGCTGCTGGAGCCCTGAGGTGAAGCTTCTGTGCTTAGTAACCCGCAGCTCTCCTTCAAGCAGAGGTGCTAGTGCTTGTCTTGGCCAGCTCTGGGCTCTCGGGGGCAGCTGAGCCTCTGGGGCTGCCAGGCAGAGCCTCCAGCCCCGTTGCATTGTTAAGTGTTCATCCCCTAGCTCTTTAAAGAGCAAAGAGCTGTAGGTTGTGTTTGCTTTCAGTCGGATTTGCATTTCAAAGGCAGAGAAGTGAGGAGGGCAGCGGGATCTGTAAGGTTCCCTCCAGCTGCCACCCTTGTCCAGCCATCCCTCTGCACCTCCCTGCATCCAGCACCCAGGGAGGAAAGGCCAGCAAGGTGCTGTTGTGGGGGTAGATGCCTGTGCTTCCCAAACTGCTCTGTTTTCCTGTCTGGTACCTATTGCTTTGTTGACAGAGCCAATGTAACCAGCAGCACTTTCTGCTAACACAGTCCTAGAGCACTCCTCCTCCTCCTCTTCCTCCTCCCATGGTCTGTTGCAGCCCCCCCCAGACTACATTATCCCAGCCCTCTGCCTCCTTGAAGGAGTGCCAGCAGCAATACCATAAAATCAGCAAATACCTGTGTGCCAGAGAATAAATTTAAGTCTGTTTAAACACATTTTTGTGTGACTTAATCTATTTTTAAGCCCAGGACTCCCACTAATGCTATATATTAAACCACTTTGCTGTCTCCAGAATGTATTTCATTGACTGGCTGGCATCTGGCATTAGCCATTCAGGAAAAACTCCGAGTAAGCAATTGTAGCTTTTTTAGGTCAGCACTTAAGGTGCAGGAGCTGCTGCAATCAGCCAGAGGAGAGCTTGAATCCTGATAGATCACAGGGTTTCTTTTTTCTGTGACCTCAACACCAGAACTCCAGGGTAGCCCCTTCCTGGGTCCTCACAGCTCACTGAACAGCAGCAGAGGGGAAACCAGGAGCGTTAGTCACACTGGGCAGTTACCAGCTTAGCAGAGAAGCTGGAAATATTTTGCAAAAGCTAAGAAAAAAGAATTTTCCTCCCCCGTGCTGAGCTGCCTGCAGGTTCCTTTTCAAAGCCACATCAGGCAGTAACATGGAGAAGAGGCATCTGATTGAAAGCCAAATGCTGATCACCATGTCTTTGTCTGGACTGAACAGTTTGCAAGTCAGACCAGAGAAGCAAAGCCAGTGCAGAGGTTCTCTCTGTTTGAATATAACCCATTGCCTAGCTGGAGATGGAAATCATTTGCATGGTGATCTAAGAAGCCTTAGTTGTGCTGTTTCACCCTGCCAGCCAGTAGCAGCCTGGGAGAAGGCAGAGTTGAAGGTTTGCAGCAAGGTACCTCTTACCAGTAGCTCATCAGTGCAGCTCTCAGCCTCCTGATCCAAAGGGAAGGGCACCCCCGACCTTGCTGGAGAGCAGAAATAGCTCAGCAGCCAGTGGCCAAGTTGAAGCCTGCATCTCTCTGCCTGCTGCTGCCTTCTGGAGCAGATGGAAGAGGCTTCAGAGGATATTATGTCAACAAAGCACCATCTAGTGGTTATGGCACCCGGGGCTTCCCAGCCTGCCAGGCTTTGCCCGGGGTGCAGGGTGGGCAGCAGGCAGGGTGCAGGGCTGGGTGGGGAGGTGGGTGAGGTGGGCAGGAGCACCCTGCAGTGCCCCAGCAGCGAGCCTTGGCTCTGCCCTCTCCAGAGTCCTTCCTTCACCATGGGGTAAGCACAGTGAAAACTGGCAGAATTGGTGGCTGCAGCCTTGACTAGAGGAGAGAGAGCAGCTGGGGGTAGCACCCCAGCTCCTGCTGCTGCTTCTCACCATTGAGGCTTTCCTACCCTGTGCAAGGCTGAGACCAGTGCTGGGGGGTGGGAAGCCAGCTGCCCCAGGTCCCTGCCTGCACAGCACCCACCCCAGCACCACACACTCCTGTCCAGGGACCTGCTTGAGGTCCAGATCTCCTGCTCAGTGGCACAAAAGAGCCACTAAGGCAAACAGAGATCAAGCCAATGCATCCCTCTCCTTTCTTCAGCCCACCCAGATCTTGGTCTCGAAGCAAAGCAAAGTACCAGGTCCCAGCTATTGGCAAAATGGGTATTCCAGGCAGCCAGAGGATTCCCCAAATCCCAGGCACTCATTGGGCTGGACCACCCTGGGCTGTGGGACATGCTGCTGTTCCTCAGGGATCTACACCAGGGTCAGATCTTGCCCTGCCTGTTAGTTGGCATTTAAACCTAGGAGTTTTCCAGAAAATAGGTACCAGCCCTAGAAGCCTCCCAAGTGCTGAGTGCATCGTTAGGTTTTCATAAACTGCTAATAAATTCTTACCCCAGTGGCAGGGATTTAGTCAGCACATGCTTCATCTTTCCTTGTCCCTGAGCGAGGTGCCCAGGGAGGGTGGTTGGCAGGCTGCAGCGTTGTGGCTGCAGATGAAAGGTGCCTCTGAAGTTCTTCAAAGAGACTGGTTAGAAAGTGATGTGTCCCCTCCAGACGTGGGCATCGTGTCACACCCCTGGGCTTGCAGCACCCACGCCTTGGGCACTGTCAAAGCCTGGCATTGTCCCCTGTTCAGGCTGGAACCCCCAGGTGGGACGCTGGGAGGAAGGCTGTTATTTGCTTTCTTGCTCTGTGGTTGGCAGCTGAGACTTTGAAGCTGGTGAGCAAGTGATGGATGATGACATCTGACAGGCAAAGCTGATGGGAGTCAGTGTTTTCTAGCAGATGCATTTATCTGGCAGGGCAGAGATACCCCACAACTGATTTCTTTACTCTGCCAGAGGAGGAAAACAGAGTGGGATTAAAGGACTCACTGGAATCCTGCTTATGTAATTAAAAAAAATAGGAATCCTGACTTCCAATAAAGAAACTTCATAAATATCTGAGTTTATGTTGGAGCGTAAAGTAATTTGTCAGCATCAAAACTGTGGCTGTCAGCATGGAGGAGTTTTATTCTTCCTGGCAAGGATTTAAGAGCCTCTAACAGCGTGTCCTAGACCGTTGTGAGCTACAAGAGCAAGCAGTTAGTTCCAGCCCCTTTCTTTATCTGTGGGAAGTGTTTCACTCCAGCCTTAGCATGCCTGGGAGAAACCAGCGTTTGATTTTCAAACCTCTTCATGCTGCTGTCGACCTTCAGTTGCTCCCTCCCGTTACAAGCCTGCTGTTTGCTTTGCCTTGTGAACTAGTCATTTGAGTGAGAAACCTCCCCTGGTCTTGCCTGATTCCAGAACTGTCTGGTTTTGCCACATATCCTCTAGCTTTGGGCTTTATCTGATGAGCTTTGAAGTGGTGTCTTACCCAAGCTCGTAGGAAGTCGTAGATACAGTGTGGTAAGTTGTGTTTCCACTGCTGGTTGTTACAGAACCACCTTTGGGGGACTTGGGGAGCTTTTCAGTAAGGTTCTGCCTGCTCACACGTCCAGTTGTCACACTTACCAGAAAAAGCTGCATCTGTAAATGCTGGCTGTGGTGTGTGGGCTGCGTGCCTCGGTCGCCTCGGTCTCTTTGGGAGCCCCTTGCTAGTGGTGCCTCAAAAGGCAGGTAAGGAGAGCTGAGCAGCTCTGCTTGGTGGCAGCAAGGTGACAGCCACCAGCTGGGAATGCACAACATCGGGCTGAGCGTTAGGAAATCTTCCACAGGAGGGTGGCACAGGCTGGGACAGGTCTCCAGAGGGGCAACAGATGGAGATCTTGAAGGTTTTCAAGATCTGGCTGGACAAAGCCAGACCTGACTCCTTCAGGGGTTGGCAGCAGCCCTGCTGTGAGCGGGAGCTGGGTCCAGGAACCCCTTCCCACCATCCAGCAGCCACTCTCTGATCATCCTCTTGTTTGGTGCAGGAAGAAGAAGGCGAGGATGCAGATATCTCTTCTGGTCCCTCGGTCCTTAGCCACAAGATGCCTTCTGCCCAAGCCTTCCACCACTTTGCTCCCCGTTACTCTGAGATGGGCTGTGCTGGGATGCAGCTGAGAGATGCCCACGAAGAGAACCCAGAAAGCATCCTGGATGAGCACGTGCAGCGTGTGATGAAAACACCAGGCTGCCAATCTCCAGGACCCGGCCGCCACTCTCCTAAGCCACGGTCCCCAGAAAGTGGCCACTTAGGAAAGCTGTCAGGGACACTGGGGACAATCCCTCCAGGGCACGGCAAGCACGCGACAAAATCAGGAATGAAACTGGATGCAGCTAATTTATACCACCATAAACACATCTACCACCACATCCACCACCACAGCGTGATGAAACCAAAAGAGCAGATCGAGGCCGAGGCCACGCAGCGGGTGCAGAACAGCTTTGCTTGGAATGTAGATTCACACAACTATGCAACAAAGTCACGGAACTACACCGAAAACCTGGGCATGGCCCCTGTCCCCATGGACTCTTTAGGCTACAGGTGAGTCCAGGCAACACCCAAGGGGAGTCCCAGAGCCATGGCTTCTCTAGGAGGCTCTTTGGTGAGTGGGCTGGTGAAACAGGGTGGCTGAACCACGTTTCCTCATGAAAGCCTGTGCTGGGATGTGGTTTATGGACCTCCTGCTGCTCTTCCTTTTGGAGGTGCCCCCAATAACCCTTTTAGAGACCTTTGCACTTCTGTGATCTAGAAGGACACTCTCTAACCAGAATGCTTAATGCTCTTGGTTATAAAGTAGGTTTTTTCTGCTCCTTAAAACAGTGGAGGCGTTTAGAAATGACAGATGCTGGTCTGCTTCCCCATGCAGCAGGAGTTGCTAAGTCTAGGGCTGTGTCTTGAGATCAGGGTAACAGAAACCAGTCCCCTAAGGTGTTTATGAGAGGACAGAAACCCCTCCTTACTGCCAGGCCTCACCCAAGGGCTCCTTTCCCTCCCAACAAAGTGCTGCCTTGACGTCCTGTCCCAGGGGGGTGTTCTCCAGAGTCAGGGACCCTCTGCCCAGAAGAGATATTTTGCTGCTATGCAGGCTTTTGTCCATCCTTCCTTGGCCACTTGGGTTCCTCCATGCTGAGGGGAGGGGACAAAGCTCTTTCTCCATTGCTAATCCTGTTACTGGGTGCCTGCGAGGGTGAGGGAGAGCTCAGGGCCACGCAGGGTGAGGCTGGTGGTGGAGCAGCCCCAGAGGAGAGCTGTGCTCCCCAGGGTGCTGGGTTTGGGCTGTTGCTTGGCAGCACACCGGGGGCATGTTCAGCAAAGGCAGGTGGCTGGGTCTGCACCAGCTTCCCAGGGTGAGAGGGAGGCAGGGACAGAGGCAGCCCAAGGAAAGTGCTCTCCAGGGAGGGGGAAGCACTTAGGTCTGCCCTGTTTCTGGGAGCAAAGGCTTGTTGCCTCAGCAGAGTGTAAATGTGGCTGTGCTGTGTCAACCCAAATCCCCATCTAGACACAGGACTGCTCTCCAGCAGTGACTACAGCACATATTTTAAGGGATTAGAAACATGTATTCAGAGCTGTCCTTCCTCTGACACAAAATCTCAGGTTCTGACAGTCCCCAGGTCAGGAGCTTCACAAGACAGGAGATTGCATCTGAACAGTCCTGTCTGGCATGCAGCAGCCTCTTGCAGTGACTTGCCTGGCTCCCTGCTGACCCCAGCCCCCCACAGCCGTGCCTGTGGCATGATCACAACCTCCAGAAGAAGGCACTGTTTTGATTTGCACAGAGCCTGCTACTGAAACATTTCCTTCCACAGCATCTAGTCCTCACGTGAGGAGAAGCAGAGAAGAGGTTGCAGTTTGCCTTCAGCCCAGGCTGAAGAGAAGTTGCCTTTGCACATCTGCAGCAACCCCACTGCAGCTTTTTCCCCAGGAAATCAGCCAAGCTGTCTGAGGACCTGTTACTCCTGTGGTGTTAAGGCTGTTCTCACTGTGTTAGTGAGAAGCAGAAGCAGAAGCAGGGAGGTCCTCTGGAGCAAAGTGTCCATGTGGGCACAGAGTGCTGGGATTTCTGTAGGAGCCTTGGCTGCAGCCATGAACACAGTGCCAGCTACTGCCTGGTGCCCCTCTGGCTGTGGTGGTTGAGGTGGCTGGGCTTCCCAGTGCACCAGAGCCTGAAGCAGGCAGTCCCCTTACCAGGATGTGCTCTTCCACCGTGATGGGAAGCCCCAGCTCAGGGCTGAACCCCAGCTCAGGGTGAGAAACAAATGCTGGGCACAACCCATCAGCAGTCTGGGGAATCAGTGAGTCTGGGGGTGATCAGAAGGACTCAGGTTTCCAGCAGTGGTGTGACCTGGCGAGGCAGCTGATGGATTGACTCTGAGCAGAGTCAGGGGGTTAACACGAGCTTCTGTGTGGCAGAAGGTCTGCTGGGCTTTTTGCCACGTTGCCATGCTCATTTGGCCTGAGGAGGAGCTGCCTTTGCCCACAGGTGGCTGGGTGGAGGAGCCTGCTGTGCCTGGCTCTGGCCAGCCTTGCTCTCAGCTGCAGCGTGGTGGGTTTGAGCCCTGGTAGAGCCAGGGGGGCTGTGGCTACCCCTGCACCACAGGCAGCACCAGGTCCTGGCAGGGCTGAGCGTGTCTGGAGGTAGCTGAGTCCATCCTCTGCCACGGGCTGCAGTGGTTTGGCTCAGGCAAAGCACTGATGTCTCAAGCTTTGTTCTTGCAGTGGGAAAGCAAGTCTGCTCTCAAAAAGAAACATCAAGAAGACCGATTCAGGGAAAAGTGATGGTGCCAACTATGAGATGCCAGGATCTCCTGAAGACGTGGAGAGAAACCAGAAGATCCTCCAGTGGATCATCGAAGGAGAGAAGGAGATCAGCAGGCATAAGAAAACAAACCATGGGTAAGGGCTGTCCCCTGCTCTAGGCTGTCCAGGGGTCTGCCTTGTTCCTGGAGACCCTGGGAAGGCAAAACCCCACCAGGCACAAGGGCTGAGACCCTTTGGAGTGAGGATTACTCGGGGGCTGTAAGGGCTGGGATTTTTTGGAGGCTGAGTTGTGGCCCTGGGGGGAGGCTGCAGCCCCAGGAGAACCTCCCAAGGTGCCACTGTGGTGCTGAGGTGGATGAAGCCACACACAGGAGGTGACAGTTTTAAGCATTTGCTGCATGTCCATGCCTGCTACTCCTGCTGGGTGCTGGTGGAAGTGCAGGACCTGCTGCACTAGAGCCACTGGTCCTGAGTGAGCAGTTAGCACAGCTCAGGGTTACCCAGCATGTTGGGCTTGCTGGGAGCATCCTCTGGGATGGCCCTCTGCCTGGAGTGGAGCCAAGGACGTGGCTGTCTCAGGCATCTCTCTGGAGTCAAGCAGCTCTCCTGCAGGCACAGATCCTCGGTCACAGGGTGGCAAAACCCAGCTGGGTGTTGGTGACAGGGATCTGGGGACTCCTCCCCTCCGACAGCACTGCACTGAGGGCTGAGCAGAGGAGCTGCTGGTGGAGGCCAGGGCGGGTTGTGCTGCAGGCAGCTGGATGCTCTGTGTGCCCAGCAGGGCTGTGGGCAGTGCCAGGCTGCCAGCTCTCCCTGGATGTGCTCCTGGAGAGGTGCCCAGCCTGGCACATCGGCAGCACGTGGGAGGGCATCTCCTGAGAGTGTCCCAAAGGCTGGAGCTGCCTTTTGCTGGTTGTATTTTTGTTTTGTGCACTTGATGAGAGCCCTTAAACAGATCTGGGGGCTCTGTGTCAGGCTTGTGTTGCTCACCCTGATGTCTCAGGACGTGCTGTCCTGAAATCCTCTCTAGAGGCGGGTGGTGCTCCCCTCTCCCTCAGAAGCTTCCCAGCAGTGCCCATGGTCCAGCTGCAGAAGCAGCAGGTCCATCTAGGAGTGACTGTGTGCCTTTGCAAAGCAGCTAGCTGGTGCATGTAAAACCTCTGTGTTTGTGTGTAGCTCTTCAGGTGCAAAGAAGCAGCTGGGCCATGACATGAGCCGACCCCTCTCCATCGAGCGGCCCGTGGCAGTGCACCCCTGGGTCAGTGCCCAGCTCCGAAACGTCGTCCAGCCTTCTCACCCCTTCATCCAGGATCCCACCATGCCACCCAACCCAGCCCCCAACCCTCTCACCCAGCTGGAAGAAGCTCGCAGGAGGTTGGAAGAGGAGGAGAAGAGGGCTGGAAAACTGCCCCCCAAACAAAGGTAGGGAGAGAGGGTCTGGTGGGGGAGACTGCTCTGAGGGTGGTGTCCGTGGGTTCTGCTCTGTCTCTAGCTCCCAGCACCAGCCTGGGGCAGGCACGTGCAGAGAGGTCAGAGAAACTGCCTCAGTCTCTCCGAGGGGGTGGTGAGAATGCCAAAACCCATCTTGAGGGCCCGGGCTTATGGTGTGTGGATGTAGAGGCTGGAAATGCTCCTGGCAGGGTGAGGAAGGGACTGCTGAGAGCTCGAGGAGGAGCTGGGCAGGGGAACCATGTCTGGAAGGGGCACAGCACAGGAGAGCTCTCCCCCAGTGCTCACTGACTCTCCACTCCTTCACACTCACATGCTGATTTCAGAGATTGGTGCAGGAGCAGAATTCAGCAGGGTGCAGGAGAATTAAGTGCAGAAGAAGAACACATATTTGCTCTTTATCTACATCTCCCAAAGGCTTCTGGCAGAGGCACCTGGAGGAGACCACTGCCCCATTGTCCTACAGCAGCAGCTTTTCATGACTCAGCTCAGTGCCTGTTGCAGAGCTAATTCTTCTCCTGCCTTATCTTTCAGGAAATATTATTTGCAGGGCACGTGGACCTCTCGGATGAAAAGCATTTTGGAAGTGCTGGATAATTACTGTTAACAGCTAAAAGCACTTTGTCCATTAAAAACCTTTCACAACTTTAGAGCTGTCTTCTGAAAACTCAAAACTTCACAGTCTGACCCTCAGAAAAACAAATGTCATTTGAAAAAGAAACTCTTTTAATTGCCAAGCTCCAATTATTTTTGCTATCAGTGACCACATAGCAGACTTCTGCCTATTTATGTCAGAGCATTGATTGAAAGCTGGGTAATTAGAGGGCTCTCCCAAGTCAGGTTAAGCCAAGTTTATTTGATCTGCCTTTCAGCTGCTGTAATTGGGTAGTTTATTAGTAGAGTCATTTATAGTTGTTCTGAATTCAGGCACCTTCTCCAGAAATGTCCAGATGCAGATACACACTTTGGAAGCACTGGCCTGGGCTATGTGCATGTGTAACTAATATTCTAACAGTAATTTGGTGTGTATTGCATTGTATCAATGATGATCAATAGCTAAAAGGTCAAGAGGCTGGGGCCAGACTCTTGTCAGTGGTGCCCAGGGACAGGACAAGGGGCAATGGGCACCAACTGGAACCCAGGAGGTTCCACCTGAGCAGGAGGAGAAACTTCTTTGGGGTGAGGGTGCAGAGCCTGGAGCAGCTGCCCAGAGAGGCTGTGGAGTCTCCTGCTCTGGAGAGATCCCAAACCCTCCTGGCTGTGACCCTGGGCACCCTGCTGTGGGTGAGCTGCTGGAGCAGGGGGGTTGGAGGAGATGATCTCCAGAGGTCCCTTCCAACCCCACCCTGCTGGGATTCTGGGGTTGGAAGGGCAGGTTTTTTGGAACCCCATGGCATTGTGCTGAGTGTTGTGGAGACCAGGGGGAGCACAGGCTGAGTGCTCCCAGTGCTGGGCTGCTCTGCTTGGGCTGCTTCTCCCTGAGGTCTGACTGTTCTCCCAGTGATGCAGGGACTCCTTGGACCTGCCCCATGCATGGAAGGCCATGGAACCACGTTTGCTGGCAGGGAGCTGCTCACTAAAAGCAAATGCACCCAGGCAGGAATGAATGCAGCGGTCCCCAGGGAGCCAAAGTCTGGAGGTTGAAATCTC